GATTCTACAATGATGTGTGTTTTTTTTTTTAATTTTTGTGTCCGTGTACACGATAAGTAGTCGAAATAATGCTTCGATTTTCGACTTCAGTATCTTGTTCGATTGGAAAATGAATATCGTTGGTGCATTGGGGAGGTCAAAATTCCCAATAGTTTTCACAAGAGCCGGGAAAAACAACATAAAAATTAAGGAAAAACGGGAATTTTTACGCAAAATCGGTTTTTGACAAAATCGAATTTGGTTTTTGGTGTAACTTTAAAACAAATGACCGTAAATACATGAAATTTTCACTGGTTGTTTATATTTGCATTTTCTATACACTATAACATTTTCAAAATATTTTGATTTATTTTGAACTGTTTAGGGACATTTTCATTTTTCATTTTTTTTTAGTTTTTTTTCTAGAAATATCAATACAATTTTATTTAATTTAATAGAAGACTCCTAGTATATTGTTTCAAAGGCAGATGAAAAATATTAAAAATCGTTAGTCACAGTTTTTTTTTATAAGCATTTAAAGTTCAAAAATTGACAAAATATGGAAAAATCAAGAAAATTAGCAAATTATTTTGAGTTAAGAATTCGTAAAAATTTTTCTTTTTAAATCTAAGATTTGAAAATGTATTACAAGATTACTCATAAGTTTGTCTACCTTTATCAATAAAAAAATCTCTACCGGACAATCAAATTAAATTTTTATGAGCGTTTGAAATTCAAATTTTTACAACATTGGATGTTCACTCGATTTCTCATGTAGCGATTTCCTTATTTTGTTGTTATTCATAAACGAATAACTATAGATACATGGAAATTTCACTGAATGTTTATATTAGCATTTCCTATACACCATACAATTTTGAAAATATTTTGACTCTTTTTGAGCTATTTACGGATATTTTCATTTTTCAATTTTTTTATTTTTTTTTTCTATGAATATCAATAAAGTTTTATCTGTTGGGCCAAAAAGTGTAAAAATTTAATACAAGGCTCCTGATATATTGTTACAATATCAGTTGAAAAATTAAAAATTCATAGGCACAGTTTTTTTTTATAAGCATTTAAACATCGAATTTTGACAGAATTTTTCAAAATCTCGAAAATTATTAATCATCGTAATTAATAAATTATAAAATGTTCAGTTTTTATAGCTAAGGATTGGAAATTTAAAACAAGATTCCACGTAAGTAGTTAATTCTCTTACCAAAAAATCTAAAAAATATGCAATCACAGTTTATTTTTATAGTCATTTTATGTTCAAATTTGGACGAAATTACATATTAAAAAACCTAGGTACCTAGTTATTTTGTTGTGATTATATAATATTATTCGTGGGTACCTACTTGAAACTTCTAAAGTGTACTATTATAATATATCAATGATAGTTTCAGGGTTTGTTATTGATGTTGATGTATAACGTGTTATAAGTACCTAATGGATATTGTGATAATATGTGATATGATTAATTTGGAATTTATTATAGGTCAATTTTTTTTTTAATACCATAGATACCTATGTATATAATTTGTCTTAAACCTAGACTGACATACCGTCTTCGCTCAGAATCGTTTTTCTTATACAATGATATTGTATCATTGAATTCAAATTTAATACCATCCATTATACAGTGACCCACTTGTAACCTACAGTACAGCAGAGCGACATCCACTTACCCACCTTTTTTTTTCTATATATATCTATACAATTTTATTTGTTGGGTAAAAAAGGGTGAAAATTTAATAAGGCTCTTGTTATATTATAACAATAGCAGTTGAAAAATATTAAAAATACATAGGCACAATTTTTTTTATAAGCATTTAAGAGGATTGGATATCGTGATTTTCTGCCTTTGTCTAACACACGAGCGACATACGATTATCTACTAATTTTACTCAGTCTAGTCGTTGTATTAAAGTGATAGCTATTCTGAAAATTAATTTGAATTCAGATTGAAATCTACTTGAGATCGGTCGGGTCACTTTTTCAGTTTTATTTAAAAATATTTTTTTAACATTACTATAATATTTAAAATTTTTGAAAAACCGTCAATCAAATTTGTGGAATTTTAAGGCTAAAATTCAAAAATGTAATCCGACCGATCTCAAGTAGTTTTCATGCTGAATTCAAATACATTTTCAGAAATTTCATTGCATCAATACAACGATTGGACTGATTGAAGTAAAATTAGTAGAAAATCGTATGTCACTCGTAGTCGTGTGTTAGACAAAGGCAGAAAATCACGGTATCCAATCGCCTTAAAGTTCAAATCTTGTCAAAATACGTAAAATCGACGAAAATATGCAAATTATTTTGAGTTAGAAATTCATAAAAAATTTTCTTTTTAATCTAAGATAAAATACAAGATTCCCCATAAGTTTGTCTATCTTTATCAAAAAAAAATGACTAGGTACAAAAAACTCAAATTAAATTTTTATGAGCGTTTGAAATTCATATTTTTACAACATTTGATATTCACTCGATTTCTCATGAAGCAATTTATTGTTATTTTGTTGTTATTCAAAAACGAATTACTGTAGATAGATGATAAATGCAAATTATACTGAATGTTTATATTTTCATTTTTTATGCACCATAACATTTTGAAAATATTTTAACTATTTTTGAGCTGTTTAACAGACACCTTCTTCTTCTTCTTCTCTTGGCTTTACAATTCTTTAAGAATTTTGGCCGCCACCGTCACCGTTCTCCAATAACTACGATCCTGAACTCCATCTTCCCAATTTTTCACTTCCAATGTTTTTAAGTCCTTCCTTATTCCATCCATCCATCGCTTTCTAGGCCTCCCTCTTGGTCTTTTCCCTGTCGGTTGCCACTCCATCACTGCTCTAGTACCTATTAGTGGTTTCTGTTTTCCGCATTGTATGACCAAACCATTTTGAGTCATCTGAATCATTGTCAGTTTTCAATTTTCTTAGTTTTAGATTCTGAGTGAAACGATGAATGTATTGATTCCACAATGATGTGTGTTTTTTTTTTTATTTTTGTGTCCGTGTACACGATAAGTAGTCGAAATAATGCTTCGATTTTCGACTTCAGTATCTTGTTCGATGGGAAAGTGAATTTAGTTGGTGCATTAAGGATTTCAAACTTTAAAATTTGGAATTCCCAATAGTTTTCAAAAGCGCCAGGAAAAACAACAAAGAAATTAAGGAAAAACGGGAATTTTTACTCAAATTCGATTTTGGTTTTTGGTGTAACTTTAAAACAAATGAAAGTAAATACTGATGATTAAATTTTTATGAGCGTTTGAAATTCATATTTTTACAATCTTTATATTCACTCGATTTCTCATGTAATGGTTTTGTTATTTTATTGTTATTCAAAAACGAATAACTGTAGATTCATGAAAATTTTACTGCAGAATGTTTATATTATCATTTTCTCTTCACCATTTTATTTGTTGGGTACAATATTTTTATAATCATTTAAAGTTTAAATTTAGACGAAATTTATCAAATTTAAATTATTTTGTAGTTAAAATTTATAAAATGTTCAACTTTTATAGCTAAGGATTGAAAAATGAAAACAAGGTTCCACGTAAATAGTTTAAATATATAAATTACTTTATTCTCAATAATATCTCGAAATTACTTAGTACCTATTATCATTGATTATAAATACTAGTATTTATAATCAATGGTATTATCATAGGCTGACTGACCGTTTTCGCTCAGAATCGTTTTTCCTATACAATGATATTATATCATTGAATTAAAATTTAACACCATCCATTACAGTGACCCACTTGTAACCTACTGTACAGCAGAGCGACATCCACTTAACCACCTTTTTTTTTATTGTTAAGAGAAATCTGAACGTACAATCTATACAGAACATTAAACATATTTGGAGAGTCAGAAAAAAAATAAAATGAGGGGACTTGATTAAGAGGTCGCCCATTAATGACACTTAGTTTGGAGGTGAAAAGAAAGAGAGATAATATGAAATAAATCAATACAGCTTAAAGCAAAAGATCTCTACTCCATCTTTTTATCAGTCGGTGGCAAGAATTTTTAGAAAGAGTCAAGGGATAATTTTCTGATAAATGGGTTTTCATATAAACAATAAACCTAAAATTTTAATATAAGTTTGTGAATTATAACTAAGTTATAGTTAAGAATTTTTTAGTAGTTTAATATTGTTAAATAAAATCATTTAGGAACATTCTTTTATCAGCATTCAAAGCTAAAATTTTAAATTAAATGTTTATCTTGTTACAAGATTATTATAAAAAATATAAAATATTTAGTTGTTCAGATATTTAAACGAAATACAAAGAGTAACAATTTTTTCTAAAATTTTAATACACTTATTGATTATACTAAAAATGTACATTGTTCATTTGTACTTAATGAAAACATCTCAAACAAATTATTTGATAAAAAGCTCATCATGTCTCTATTTTGAATTTAGAGTAATTTATACTCTATTTGTTTAGTCTGTAATGTTTAAAAACTTTCAATAAGTATACAAATATCAAATAATGAGAGGTGACATCAGAGGGAAGTTACTAATTTGGTGTAACTAAATACACCATACAATTATACTGCCCTAATATAGTAAAAACTGAAATGATATCACTTTTTATAATATCTATATATAATTATAACTTAACTGCTTAATAAAAATCATGCGAAATCTCTAATAACTCAGGTCCTATAAATAATAATAATTTGAATTAAATGCTTTTATTATGTTTATTTATTTTCCAGTTTCTTTATCATAAAAAATGATTATATTAAAAACAATAATACACATACAAATATTACATTTATTGTGGTATTTCAAATAACATTAATATTTTGTTTTTTAATACTATTTACAAAAATATGTTTCAGTGTAGAAAGGAGTCATCTTAACTTAACCAAGAGTTTAGAGTACTTAATATTATAAACAAAATAATAGTCATAAACAAATACATTTAAGCAAAATAAAATACAATACTATAAAAAGAGACATAAAAGTAATAGTTTTGTTTTTTATTAAACACTTTGTAATCGATCCCAACGCCAGATAGTACCATCGTCACACACACAAATCAAAATATTTCCATCACGACTAAATGTAGTTTGACGTATAACTGTATTACATTTTGGATGAGCTAATGTAGTTACACGCATTGATGCTTGGTCATTAGAATTTAAATCCCAAACATATATTTTACCAATGGTATTGCCTAGTGCTAATATCTAAATTGAAAAAAAAATTGTACTTATTAATTTCTTTGACATTATTATTTTATATTTTATTGCTATGTAAATACTTTTTGGGAGAAATCCATAGAAAATCTAATGAACCATACATCACAATCTTTAAAGTCATAGTACCATATTTGTGATACTGCAGCTTCGTTTGGTTTAAGTTCAGTATCTTTTAGATGTCCAGGTTTCCAACAAACCATACAATTTTCACATGACTAAAATCCAATTTTATTATAATATGTAATTAAATACATTTTATTAAAAAAATATATGATACAATAATTACCTTGGAAATAACATAATCACCAATCCATCTCACACAATCAACATAATTCCTATGTATGTCACGTGTTGAAAATACTGGAAAATGTTCTTTGATAGTATCAAAAGGTCGAGCAGATCTGTTTGGATTGAAAGAATATGATTGTTTAATAGCATCTTGGATATAGTCTTTGTCTAAACTCCATAGCTTTAATGAATGATCCATTCCACAGGACATTATACGATTACCATCAATATTAAAATCCTAAGTTTATAAACAAATAATGCAATCAAAATGATTATACAGTAGACGCCGCTTATAAGACTCACTTTGGGACCAGCACAAAGTGAGTCTTATAACCGAATGAATCTTATAGGCTAAGTAGAAAAAAAAATTAATTACGTATTTATAAATTTTGTTTTACTACATATTTTGCTTTGATTTTAATACTTTAACACATATTACATATTACATACTTTATTATTGAATAAATTTAATAATCCTGATAAAAAAAAAAACTAAAATTATAATAGGTAAATATTACATATAAAAATATTATAAAAATTATACATTAATAAAAAATTATAAAGGATGTATGTACATATTATAATGTATTTATTATTTATTTTTATTATACGTTATAAAGTACCACCAGAAACTAGAAATAATCAACACGAATATTATTTAATTTTCCAATACCAATTTATTTCTAAATTATAACCAAAAAAGTTTATTTTATACTATTTATTTTACGAAATTTGAGCCTTATAACTGAAGTGTTGAGTCTTATAACCGATTTTTTTTTAATGTATTTGGATACGTCCGGACCGTTCTAGACGATTTTGAGTCTAATAAGCGACTGAACCTTATATCCGTGAGTATTATAAGCGACGTCTACTTTTTTTATTATACAGACCTATCTTAAAAAAGTATTTTTAATCACAGGGTGGTCAAGAATTGAGGGAAATTTTATCTACCAGCTATGTATAGAATATTGGTTTACAATTTATTACCCAGGTATGGCTACAAATTAAATTTATATTTTTATAGGGTACTTAGGGATTGGGCTAAAAATGTATGACACAAAAGTATACAAGTATTTATTAACAGTACCTATATAATTTAGAACTTTTTATTTTATTAAAAAATATTTACAATCTATATAATACAATTAGTATAATTATTAATTAGTAAATTTGGTAAATAGTCATTGACAGGAGGTTGCGTTTATGGGAAGGCACTCAATAGTGTCACCCAGCCAGGTACGATTGAATAAATTAAAATTGTAAAACTAGATACCTATATAAAATTAGTTAAATTGATATACATTTTTTTTTCAATTACTTAAAAATACAATTATTCTTTTAAAATATGTTATACAGATTTCATAAATTTAAATCTGGTTTTTTCTTCACTTTGTATTTTTAATTTCATTAAGAAAATAGTTATAGATTATAATTTGTTCTAAATAAAGGTTTTATAAGACTTTTAATGTTCCTACATTTCTAATTTTAATATAAACTTTAGCTACATGGATTCTACAGTAAAAACTGTAAAATAATCCCGACTAGTTTTATGAATAGCCTTTTTTTTTTATCATTACAAAATATCATACCATGACCAATCATTTTTTACATTCAAAATGACAATAGTATATTAAAGGGCAAATTTAAAATTAAAAATAATATACTTTATTCTATATCCATTATCCAACAATAAATTGCATTCATGTGTATGCAACCACCAATAACGTATAGTGCTACCTTAAGTCACTGACTAATAATATAGTATATTATTAATTATATAACAAAATACCAAGGTATGAACCAGGTAAAATGTGTGAAATTAACTTAAAAAATATATAATAAAATAACAATTTTAATTACCGCCGAGAGAACTTCATCTCGATGGCCTTCAGCACCGCCAAATATAACAATGCACACATCACTTTTGATGTTCCATAAACGTAAAGTATGGTCTTTAGATACTGACAGCAACATATTTGTATCAATTGGATGAAATTGTAATTCATTAATTGCTTGTCCGTGACCTAGGATTTATAAGATTGTACATTTAACACAAGTAATTTTTTTTAGTAAATTATCAATGCGTACCAATATAATGTCTAATAGATGACATAGTGACCGGACTAAGAATTCGTATGATGCCTCGATTTCCAGCAATAGCCAAAAGTGGCTTGCCGTTTTCATCTACAGACCATGCACAAGTATAAAATGTTTCATTTGTCTACAAATATATAATATTATATAGTTAAGGATAACTGACAAAAAATATAAATTCATTAATACAGTTATAGTAAATAAAATATACATATATATATATATATATAATATAACATTTATAAACTAATATATTATAAACATTTATTATTTAATATTTATGAAAAGGATACATCTGGATCTGCATAACTTTGCAATAAATTAATAGTACCATCTTCTAAACATTGGTAAACTGAAACTCTATTGCTGCCTACAGACGCAAATATTAATGGTTGGTCTTCATTTAATAAATGATTAAATTGAACACCAAATAGTGATTGACCATGGTCTTCTCTTAATGCACATCTATCATAAACATGCATGAAACAATTAATAAAGTATGTTATAAAGATAAATAAAATAATTGTGTCAATACAAATTAAAGTCATTACATTTATGAAGAAAAAAGTAAATAAATATTCTGAATAACTTTACATTTTATTCAAACCCACATATTAAAAATGTATTTGTATTAAAATGAAGTCTGGTTCGATTAATCATGAATTCATAATTACATTTTACAGAATAGTAGTGTAATTGTCACTATAGATTGAATTTTCCTAATAAAAATGTTATTTGTTCAAGTTTATTATGTTTATGTTGAAATAAAAATTAAATACCTATAATGTATATATTTTATTATAAATAATATGAATCATTAAGAGTTTAATACATACGAAAATTTGTACTGAAGCTTAACATTTTTGGTATTATTGGAAGGTTTGGATTTAGTTTTTCGACCACGTCTAGCAGGTTCATGGCTTCGTGTTGTGAGATCAGTATTTGAACTATCTATACTTGATGTATCATCCTAAAGAAAATATAAATTTATTAATTTTTGTATAAAAGTAATTTTGAAATAATAAAACTACGAAATTACGTATTTACATTTTACATCAAAATACTAAATATTTAATGAAAATGTTAAGGGAAACTTACTGATTCTATTAGAACAACGTCAGACATTTTTACTGTTATCCGAAATGAACTATTTAAATGTTGTATGAATAATTTTATATAATAAATTAACGTTTAACAAAAAAAAATATCTCGACTCAGAATTCAGAAATCATAATTCCAGTTTTTTTAAAATCAACATTACGTGTGGCTGATGGCATTGGCATGATAATTCTAAACAATGATAATACAAATTATAAGAGACGCGCTTTATGATAGCAAACAGTCAATTGACAAGACGACAACATCTGGAAAAAAAGTGGTTTTTCATATTTTGTTAAATTTCTGGAGTGCCTAGTATTTAGGTTTTCGGAAAAAACTTAAAAACCGTTGCGATTTTCCGAAATCAGACGGTACATATTTCGGCACTTAGTAATAACGTCTCATTGATGGCTAGACCCATTGTGGTTAGGCAGGTTAGGGGAATCCGTTTCACACGTATTATTTCACATCGTGTCCGTTGCGAGTAAATCGAGGGGGGCTCGATTTACATTATTGTATTCTATTATAGATTTATCTATAATATACTAGACGAGTAGTGTTTGGAAATGTGAAATACTATTATTACTATTACAAATAACAATGATGATCAAATGTTTGTGCTTTGCTATTGTGTAACGCATATAATGGAAGAGGATTTTACGACGAACGCGCTTAAAAATACTAACATTCAAAGGTCGCGAGTGGCTCGGTCCTCCCGCAATAACATATATATGTACCTCATGGACCATGGGATATATAATAATATAATATTACATGCTTATATATTTGTATATACATTCATATAGGTACATAGCAGGCTGCTGGTGTACATCCTACTTTTTTACTCGAACGTATATATGGGCTAAGGGCAGGTATTTAAGGTGGGCAATAAACTATTATATAAAACGTCAGCAGCTCTGTACGGACAATAATTGCAGAAAGGTCCATGGGAAATTCTCGTCCGGTCTATACAACGGCTGAAGCTTGAAGATAAAGACGCTAGTGCAATAATAATAATAATAATAATAATAATAATAATAATATAATAACGGCGTGGGGGACAATATAATAATATAACCGTATATTATATAAATACATATTATATTGTAGATGATATTATATATATACCTATAATATATAAGAATATGGTCTATTGTGTGCTAAAAGAAAAAAATTGGACAGATAGGTATAGCGAATAGCGATGAGAATTGAGAGTCCAAGTCATATATTATATATATAAAATTATATTGTATGTTGTCCGTCGGTCGGTAGGTGTGCGTGCAACAGGAGGGTAAGAATAAAAAATGCTCCCGCAGTCAACAATCGCGGTTTCAAATTTGCGAGGGGTGACGTAGTATTAGTATGGCGAGGGGGGCTTGGCAGGAGGGAAGTAAAATAAAATTTCGAAGTAGAGAATGAAGTGGCGGTGTGTGTGGGAGCGAACGGGTTAGTGTCGCAGGAGGCGGTGTATTAGTGTATCCGTGTATCGTGAATGAATTTTTATTTGTATTTCGATAAAATACGATATTATTGTGTACACGAATGCACAATATTATAACGTACGTAATGTACGTGTGTGCTGCAGCTGTGGACGTAAGAAAAGCGCGCGGTCGCGACCGGTTTCGGTTGGCACCAGTGCGGCTTGCAAGAGCCGTTACACCCGGTTCGACCAATGGGGACGCGCGTATTTGCGAAAAACGGTTCCTGGGTCGTTGTTTTTTAACTATTTTTTTTTATTCCACTTGTTTGTTTTTTTTTTTTTCAACTTCTTGTTTCTCGTCCCCGTCGTCTCGCCTCATATATCTACCGATACCACATTATACCACGATATTATACCGCGTACACCGTTCTCCCGCAGCGGCAGCGTCACTTTGCCGAATTCGACCAATTCCTAACCCCTTAGCGTTCGGTAATCGGTGCGATTCCGCTGCCGTCGTCGCCGCCCAGAGTACTAGCGCACTGTCTGTCGTCAGCCGCTGGAAATCCGCGCTCGGTCCGCACGACGCGACACAGTTCTAACGACATTTTTCTGCACCGCGGTGACGCCGGCTGCACCCGGTCACCACACGTCACTACGCCAGCGACAGATCGACCGAGCGCGCCCGCCAGACGAACAACGACGCGATATTATTGTAATTTGTAACCGCTCCGGCTTCACACGGACGCACGCACACGCACGCGACCGTGCGCGCCAACACACGCATACCGGCATCCGTCGTCGTCGTCGTCGTCTTGTTCGTCTTCTTCAGTCTTTCTTCTACTTCTTCTTCGGCTATGCAAAGTGAGCTGCACCGCCGACCAGCAAAATACACGCAATAGACATCTCCTCCAACTTCGCGTGTGCCAGATGAGAGGCGTTTGCTGAAAGTCGAGACAACGCCGACGCTGCAGCCACAGCCGCCGCCACAACGACCACTGCCACGACGGGGATCCGCTTTACTTCCGCAGGAGACGCCGATATTATTCAGTGAGTTAGCTCGCGCACGCCGCCGCCTGTACACTTGTCGGTCACAATATGGTGATCGAAACGGTTGTACCGCCCCGATTTCCCAGCCCTGTCCGTCGGCCGTTTGACCTTTTCGCCCGTCTCACGTTAGGTGTGTGTTTTTGACGTTTTTCAGTCCGGTATGGAAGTCAACAACGCCAGGTCAGATGAAAACGCTGACGAATCGCCCGCCGACGCTCAGAAGTCTGAAGACCACAAAAAGCTACTCGAATATGGCATACACGAGTCGGTCGCCGACAGGCTAGACGAAATCTATAAAAGCGGTAAGACTGTGCTCAGATTACATTTTTATCTACTGGGCTTTTCAATTATACTATTAGGTATCTAATACGTGTTGATACACGATATAGCATTTTATATGCGCAGGAAAATTTTGCTCTTACAGTAGGAATCCAATGTGATATACATTAGAGCATTCATCTGGAAACCTTGTGTGCATTTTTTTAGATAGAGCCTTCTCGGAGAAAAATATTTGGTCTGCTTGTACAGGACCTAATAGACTATAGATTTGTCGTATTACATAAAAGTTAGGTAGCACCTAATATATGTCTACAGGTAGTCAGATCTACCTAGTTGTTTTTAATGTTTTATAATATTGTAGGATTTTGTAATTTAAATAAAAATGTGTACCTAAATAATTTAAGTACGATTTATCATTTGAAATATGTCATAAGTGTATTTTGTTGAGAGGGGGCAATACTTAATTATATGTTAACTCTGCCAACTAATTGATATCATTACATTTTCTTAGGTTATTATCTTAACATAGTCATGTTTAGGATATTTGTTATCTAGTTAAATTGTAATATCTATCAATTTTAAATATCTTATAACATTCCTATACACTTATAATATATGATTTATTATATATTCTGTTGTATAGGTAGTTATAATTTATTTATAATATCTTAGGAAAAATAACGTTACCTATATTTTTCATTAAATAATTTTAGAATCATTAAAAACTAATTTAAATTATGGGGTTGGCTATTATTTCATCTTTTGCCCTACCACAACCATTGTACCTACTGTTTTGTAACCGTGTACGAAATTAAAAACATTATGTTACAAAACAGTAACAATAGCTTGTATTAAACATTTAGGTAAATTATTTAAATGTTTTGGTTCATTTTATTATCTATTGTACTCAATTTGTACTGAATAGGTAGAATTTATTCTATATTTTGAATACAGAATAATTAATATCAGCCAGAAGTAATAATTGATTGAAATTAATATGTACACTATTTCTAGGGAATAATAATTATCATCATTTTTAGATTCTGAGCGGAGCGATGAATGTATTGGTTTTACAATGATGTATGTTTTTATATTTTTATATTTTTATATTTTTATATTTTTATATTTTTATTTATATTTTTGTGTCTGTCATCACGTTTTGGGACAGTAAAAGTGCTTCGATTTTCTTCAATAGTACCTTTTCTGATAGGAAAGTGAATCTAGTTGGTACTTTGGGGGGTCAAAAGTAAACATTTTCCAGTAGTTTTCACAAGCGCCGGGAAAAACAACATAAAAATTAAGGAAAAACGGGAATTTTTACGCAAAATCGATTTTCCAAAAAATCGAATTTGGTTATTGGTGTAACTTTAAAACAAATGACCGTAGATACATGAAATTTTCACTGGTTGTTTATATTTGCATTTTCTATACACGATAACATTTTCAAAATATTTTGATTTATTTTGAACTGTTTAGGGACATTTTCATTTTTCATTTTTTTTTAGTTTTTTTTCTAGAAATATCAATAAAATTTTATTTGTTCGTTGCGAAAGCTTGAAAATTTAATAGAAGGCTCCTAATATGTTGTTTCAAAGGCAGATGAAAAATATTAAAAATCCATAGTCACAATTTTTTTTTATAAGCATTTAAAGTTCAAAAATTGACAAAATATGGAAAAATCACGAAAATTAGCAAATTATTTTGAGTTAAGAATTCGTAAAAATTTTTCTTTTTAAATCTAAGATTTGAAAATGAAACACAAGATTCCTTATAAGATTATCTACCTTTATCAATAAAAAAATCTCTACCGGACAGTCAAATTAAATTTTTATGAGCGTTTGAAATTCAAATTTTTACAACATTGGATATTCACTCGATTTCTCATGTAGCGATTTCCTTATTTTGTTGTAATTCAAAAACGAACAACCGTAGATACATGAAAATTTCACTGAATGTTTAAATTAGCATTTTCTATACACCATACAATTTTGAAAATATTTTGACTCTTTTTGAGCTGTTTATGGACATTTACAGCTTTCAATTTTTTTTAGTTTTTTTTTCTATAAATATCAATAAAGTTTTATCTGTTGGGCCAAAAAGTGTAAAAATTTAATACAAGGCTCCTGATATATTGTTACAATATCAGTTGAAAAATATTAAAAATACATAGGCACGATTTTTTTTTATAAGCATTTAAAGTTGGAATTTTGACAAAATTTATCAAAATCTCAAAAATTATCAATCGTTGGAATTAAAAAATTATAAAATGTTCAGTTTTTATAACTAAGAGTTGAAAATTTAAAACAATGATTCTCTTAAATAATTCATACTGTAACCAAAAAATCTAAAATATATATAAACACACTTATTTTTTACAGACATTTTAATTTCAAATTTGGACGAAATTACATATTAAAAAACCTAGAATAACTATTTTAGTTATTTTGTTGTGATTGAATAATATTATTCGTGGGTACTTGAAACTTCTAAAGTGTACTATTATATATCTATGATAGTATCACGGTTTTTGTTGTTGTATAACGCGTTATAAGTATCTAATGGATATTGTGATATGATTAATTTGGAATTTATTATAGGTACCTATTATAGGTCAATTTTTTGTTTAATACCATAGATATGTATATAATATGTCTTATACATAGACTGACATACCGTCTCCGCTCAGAATCGTTTTTCTTATACAATGATATTATATCATTGAATTCAAATTTAATACCATCCATTATACAGTGACCCACTTGTAACCTACTGTACAGCAGAGCGACACCCACTTGCCCACCTTTTTTATATTGGGTACCTATATAGTTGGTTTTCATTACACTTTAATGTTTTATTATGTTATGTTGAAAATTCAGCTTATATACTAGTATTCTTTATTTTTGAGGCATATTTAAATTTAATTTACATTTTATCATCTGTATAATCGTTTTATAATTTAAGTATTAGTATTAGTTATTTTTGAATGTTATCAATTTATATATGATTTATATGGTTTTCTTAGGTAAATTAGCACATTCTGATTTGGACACTAGAGCATTGGATGCATTAAAAGAATTTCCTGTTGACGCAGCTTTAGGAGTTCTTTCTCAATTTCTTGATAGCAATTTATTACATGTATCCAATAAGTCTGCATATTTATGTGGAGTAATGAAAACTTATAGACAAAAAACAAGAATTACCCCTCAAGAGCCTTTTGTACAACCACCCAAAGGGCCAGAATTTGATAAAGTCAAGGTATATTTTCATTAAATTTGAGTAATTAAATAAGTGTTTTTAACCCTTTTTTTTATACTTAGGAAATATTAGCTAGAACTAACTATAAATTTGATGTGACTACTGGGCAACGGAAGTATGGTCCACCACCTGACTGGACTGATCCTAAGCCAACTGCTGGTTGTGAGGTAAATTAATATTTAAGGTATTATAGTATAACATATTTTTAAAATTAATTTAAATTTTAGGTGTTTTGTGGAAAATTGCCGAATACTGTGTTTGAAGATGAACTGATTCCACTATTTGAAAAGTGTGGTAAGATCTATGATTTGAGATTGATGATGGATCCATTATCTGGTACTAATCGTGGATATGCTTTTGTTACTTATACTACTAAGGAAGAGGCTGAAAGAGCTACTGTAGAAGTAAATATATTTTTTCTGAAAATAATATTGCATGTAAAAAACATTAAGTTTTTTGTTTTTTACATAATAAAAAACCTATGATTCCAGCTTGATGGTTATGAAATAAAGCCTGGAAAAAATATCAAAGTGAATATTAGTGTACCTAATCTTCGTCTTTTTATTGGGAACATTCCTAAATCAAAGGGGAAAGAAGATATTATGGAAGAATTTGGCAAAATAACAAGTAATTCACTATAAACCGTTTAATTTATTTATTATACTATATAATACCATTTTCTTTTAGGTGGACTCACAGGAGTCATAATCTATAGTTCTCCTGACGACCGCCGAAAGAATCGAGGATTTTGCTTTTTAGAGTATGATTCTCATAAAGCTGCTTCTGTAGCAAAAAGACGCTTAAGCGCTCCAAACTACAAAGTATGGGGCTGTGATATAATTGTAGATTGGGCCGATCCTCAAGAAGAGCCTGATGATGAAACTATGTCAAAAGTAAATATTAAAACAAGCAAACATTAATGATTTTAAATGGTTATATTAAAATATAAATTATTGTTTTAGGTTAAAGTGTTGTATGTTAGGAATTTAACTCAAGAAGTAACTGAAAATCGTCTAAAAGAAACGTTTGAAGTTCATGGTTCGGTAGAAAGAGTGAAAAAAATTAAAGATTATGCTTTTATTCATTTCAATGATAGAGGTTGTGCTCTCAAGGTAATATTGAATGTCATTATATTAATTTAATATGGTTAAAATAAGTGTTATATTTGAAATCACATAAGTGAGCGTTGGTGACCAATGAATGGAGACCAAATATTATTGGCACCAGGATTTTTCAGTATTGTACGTCTTATGGTTTTTGTTACTACTGTGGGGCCACATAACATGGCTTTATAACAAATATTTTTGTGAGATTGTATACAAACAACAACCTTTTAAGTTTTATTTTTTCAGCTATAGTGAGGGAGTCGAAATAATAAATGTACATACATTCAACAATTCTTCAAAATTGTCTTTGACAGTGTTTTGGATTTCCCCTTAAAGCGGAGACATAATCAAATGTTAGCGACATTGTTGGAAACGCATATTTCCAACTACTGTATCCTGGTCCGATAGTGGATTAATACTTTCTGCTATGGGCTTTGTTGATAGTTTTCACTTTTTTCTGGTCCCAACTAAAACAACTATGAGCTATATTTCTTTTTTATGAAATAACTTAGATAAGTTTAAGTGTTTTTTTTACAAACTCTAAATACTCCCATAAATTGTTAGTGTGATTGGAAATGCTTAAGTCACACATTTATCTATTTCTTCACTGTTTGTAGATTACACAGGATATTTTATCGCAAAAATGGTAATTTGAAAATGCTACCATAGCATTTAGTTAATTTAATGTCTTATACTAAACAATATAAATAATATGTAAAATGTACCTTTTTTTACTCAATAAGGAAAGTACCATTATATATAAACTGGTAATAAGTGATTATTTTGATTATATTAAAATCAAGTATTCTCATAATTTATTACTCTGTAAATTTATTAAGTACATTGTTTTGCAAAACACTGAAAGTGGCTAGTATCGATTTCTGTTAGTTGTATATAATCTGAAATCAACTTATTATTTTATCAAAACATAATTATGGAATTGGTTTTGTAGGCTTTGGAAGAGCTAAATGGTACCAATTTGGATGGAGCTACTTTGGAAGTATCGCTAGCCAAACCTCCATCTGATAAAAAGAAAAAAGAAGAAATTTTAAGAGCTAGAGAACGCCGTATGTTTACCAATATGCAAGGCCGTGCTTTTGGGTAGTTACATTATTTATTTACTAATTTATAATATACAATTAAATATGAAATAAACAATACATTATTTAAATTTGTTATGATTTAGACTAGGTCAATTTAAGATAGTTTTCTTGTACTTAATATTTTTTTAAACTAACTAAAAACTCATATTTATTGATATTTAAGTATGAAAAGCAAACTTTTTTATTTAATTTATTAATTGTAGGTTGATGCCACAACCATTATCATTGATGGGGGCTCCAAGACCAGGCTATCGTGCAGTTTCAAATAATTTACGTATGGCTGGTCGAGGTGAATTTGGTAAGTATTTTTAATATTATATTTAAGTTATAACCCTACATAATTTTCATTTTCAATATTTTATTTGTTTATTGATAACAGTATTGGGATTGGTCTGAGGTAATAACATAATATTATGATGCATGCACATAAATGTTTGCACGTTTTAATAAGTTTCATTTAGAAATATTATAAATACTAAATATTTTGTTCTAAAAATTTACCTTATTTAAACTGCTGTTGATTATTTTATATTTGTTGAATACTTTTAATTTATAGAAATTAAAAGTAAATAAAAATGTATCTATACATCTATTAAAGTAAATATGAAAAGAAATAATTTGAATTAATATTTTTATAAAAATAATTTTGTATTAAAGTTAAGCTAAGCTTATACAGCAGAATATTATAATATTATAAAATTATAATTGGTTTTTATTTTTATGTTGAAGTTTTCAATGCAAATAGATTTAATATAATATGGTGGTTTAATATAACGCATATACGTTTTTTGTGAAGTTGTAAAATAATTATACATTATTCAAATTAAAATTACCATTTAGTATTTTGTCATTATCCTACAATTATTTCTCTTAAAATAAATTAAACCAAATAAGTAAATAATAGTAACAAGACAAGAATTTTTTTTTAAATGTTATACCTTATGTTAAAAAAAACTTATATTGCCTAATTTGTGACAATACAACACTTAGGGAAATTAATTCCAAAATACAATATTCAAATTCAGTTTATTTGTTTAGTATGCATTATATAGTAATTTTAGATACATAATATATACTTGTTTATAAAAAAAAAGGATTTCATTAATTGGTCACTTTAATCACTTAATTAATCACTGATTATAAGTTATTCAAAGATATAATAATACAGTTATACTTATTTTGTATACTGTTGTATCTTATATTCTTATATTTTATTGAACTTAATGAATGTAAATGTATAAACATCAAAAATATTTAAATAAAAAATAAAACAAAAAAATAATTTTTCGTCTCCCTATTTTTTATCTTCAGCTATGTAAAATAAATAAAGAATATTTGATGGTTTAAATTTTAAAACCAACAAGAAAATGAAAAATAAATCATCCCACAATGTGATCCTACTTCCTTGTGTTACACTCCATTCATTTCTTTTGCATGTTCTTTTTATTCCACGGCATCCAGAGTACACGATGATTCCAACCGCATTTATTTTTCTTCCAACTATTTTATGCGACTACTATTATGCCGACTTTGTTTATTCAAATAACAACAAGTTAGTGTTTTCCATGATGCCTGACAGTATGTGTTTTGTGAGTAAATGTATCAATTCAACAGAAAAGATGATGGTAATTTTATGTAACACGTGTATTGTACAAATTGTATTTAAGAGGGTGTTTACAAAACATATATTATAATATTTTTATAATTTTGTACAATATTATTTATTAGAAGAAACTAAAAATAGTTAATGTAACATTCTAGTAAAAGCGTAATGCCATAAAAAGTACTAAACATCCTCTTAAAATTATTAAGTTTTTGATTGTTTAGTAGATACAATCATTTTGTATGTTATTGTTTAACTAGATATTATTGTTTAAAATGTATGAATTAGCATTTAAAGTAGCATTTCAAGTATAAGTTTAATTTTAACCTAAATGTTTAGTTAAATATGTTATTGTTTATTTACAAAATGGGTATATTAAGAATTACGCTTGCAGATCTAGTTTTAATATATTTATATATATAAAAAAAAATATTAACATTTTGGATTATTTAGCTATGTTTATGTTTAGTTAGTTATTCTTCGTTTTTTTCTTTTTTTTAGATTGGCCATGGGGATTTAATTCGTGGATGTGGCCTGCAGGCCGCTGGGATGCTGGGGCTGCCGGCCCTTGGGGAACAGCATCTGCTGGAAATAGACAATGGCATGGAGTTGCACCAAACAATCGGTCATGGGGAAATGGCAGTGGTGGCCGAATCGGCGCAGCTGGAAATAGTAGCGGCGCTTCAAGCCATGGCAAGTTTACAAGATAAACGAGGCAAGTCTTAGAAAACAAAACTTCATTACTGGTATTTATATCAGCAGGGGGAGTACTGACAAATGAGAGAGGAATTCACTAATAGGCTAATTTGGATAGGTTATAATATAACTTAAAGCTTTGTATTCTAAATAATTTTATATTATTGATACATTAAATGTATGTTAAGTTTTATTAATTTATAATTTAATTCTTATTCAGTTCAAACTATGAAATCACTCAGTTAGCTCATTTAATCATTTTTTAAAGATGTATTGTTTTTTTTCAGGCGAAAAGAGGTCTGATAAAAGTCTCCAGAAAGAGGGGGGTCAGCGCAATCGGACCCGCAACAGCTACAGACATTAGGGCGTCGGCACGAACGACTGGATGGGGCGAGAGCGAAAGCGCTGTACACTTGATGTCAGTGACTGATCGCAAATGGTAGTTCTAAAATATTTTAGTGCTTGCCATTAGTATCTCAATTTCTCGCTCATGTTACCTAATTTCATTGTTATTTAGATATATTTTTTTTTTTTATTATTATTACTTCTTTCTTGTCTTTCGATTCATATATCTTTATCAGAAAGCTATAAGAGCTGTGTTAATAAATTGTTTTTTTTTTTAGTTAAAAGCTTAAAACTATCAACTTTAAATTTTTTGTTATTTTTCTTAATTTTTTTATCTTGTTAATTTGACAAAATTTATTTTTTAAAACATTACCAAAATTTCTCCCCCTACTTCTGGAGGCATATTATATTGTTTAGGGGGACTAAAAATTTGAAATACAAGTTTTCACTAAACATTATTTGATTTCTTTTCGTATTCAGTCAAACCAACTAGACTTGTGTATTATAATTTTTTTTTTTATATATATATATATAATTTTTTAAGAGACTATACCTCAATTTTCTATACTATAATTACTGCCCATATAAATAGTTTAATTATTATATTTTTTTAAATTATGCTTTGCTTTCAGATCATACATTCAATACAATAGCTTTAAAATAATTGCAACACATTTTACATTATTGACATATTATAGTATTTGACGCTTTATAATTATTATACTCATGTAATTTTTTTCTTTTTATTTGTGTAAAAACAGATTTTTCTTTAGCAGTTTTGTCCTTAAAAATGTTATTATTATTTTTTATCATTATACTAGTACTCATAAAACAATAAATAGAAAATGTTTAAAAAATAAATGTATAATTGTTTTATTATTGTATTAAGTGAAAGTCCTAAAATCTTTCACGGATCCATACCAAAACTGTGTAAATCAATTTATCCTATAATTTTATGAGTAGAAATAAATCGTCTCAATTAATCCAATATAATTTACAAGGTAAGTGAAAAGTGATAGCAAAAATTATTGAACACATTAAAAACAATTATACAACATAAAAAGAATACTATTAATTATTCTATTGCTTATTTGAGTAACCGTACATTGGACATTGTCCTAGGGGGAATAGAAACTTGATTTGTTGTTTTAAGAGGACGCTATACCCGCATGTGTTGTCTCCGTCTTACACACGTACGACATAGACAAAACGCGTTTAGGCAGTCTGAGTATAACTCGCTCAATTTTGGTTCTAGAGTAAAAATACCTATTATGAAATTGAATCGTGATAATATTTCTAAGGGCAAGACGCTGCGGTTTTTTTTAAAAAATTTAATTTTTTAAAAGTCAAAGGTATTTTAAAAATGGTGAAATTTTTTCTATTTCTAAACGATATAATGAACGTTATATTGGGTATAATGGAAAAACCGCAGCGTCTTGCCCTTAGAAATATTATCACAATTCAATTTCATAATAGGCATTTTTACTCTAGAACCAAAATTGAGCAAGTTATACTCAGACTGCCTAAACGCGTTTTGTCTATGTCGTACGTGTGTAAGACGGAGACAACACATGCGGGTGTAGCGTCCTCTTAATATGTTAAGAAAAAAAATGATTGTTTAAGCAACCGAAACATTTAAAAAACACCATTTATAAGCAATGATTTTTCTTAAATATTTACAACCAATACTAGTTAAGTTTCAAGATCTTGATGTCTTATTTCGAGTGTAATTTTGCGTTTCTGAGGTAGACAAGACGTGGATTAGTATTAATTTCAGTGTTCAAGAGTATGCCCGTATTTGTTGTCTCAGTGTATAAGCGAATAACAGGAAGGTAAATTACGTTCAACAGTCAGACGCAGTATACATTTAGTTTTGTTAGTTTGTAATATTGAAGTAAATTTAACAAGGCTTCTAAGTTAAAAGAATTTTTGAATGTTTTTCATACTTAAATCGTACTTTGTAAAAATGTTATTAAACCATGCACATTTATAAAATAAACATACATATTTTACAGGTGAGTCTAACTAGGCTACTAGTTTTATTGCAAGTTCTGATTATTTGAAACATTGAAAATGCAACAATTTTATACATCCCCAATATTCCAATCTATTTAATACCTCAGTGGCGGATCCAGGGGGAGGGCAAAGTGGGCATTTGCCCCCCATTGCCCCTCCCAAAATTAAGCCCTGAATCCGCTACTGTGGTACCTATTTCTATTTCTATTTCACTATATTACACTTATCCAATGGTTGGATTATTAAATATATTGTTTTTGTTCATTTAGTTTCATTACCCATTATATACCCACCGTGGTCTATGACCACCCACTAAATTATTTATAGTTTGCTTACCTAAATTTGTTTATAATTTATTTCTAGACGACAGTGGTGTTTATCATAAAAAAAAATGGTGTTGCTCAACCAATTTTAGGCGACATATATACATTTCCTATTTTTATTCTATCAATATCCAGCCACCCATATTTAATTTGTTGCTTGAGCAACACTTGGGCTCCATGTTACACGCCACTGCTAGACGAAGAAACCAGTTTCGCGATCCCAGTCGCCAGACAACAATGTTTGTTCGTTGTCGGACTAGGCACACATTGGCCAGTCTCCGATGAATAATCATAAGTCATAAGTAAAAAAAGTATATTTTAATAACAAAAAAATTAATTATAATAATATGTTATTTGGCACTTAAATTCATGATTAACATATTATAGTTTTTTTTTTTTTTTTTTTTTTTTATTATTTAAATACATCTACAATCTATACAATTTTTTGTACAATAATTAGACTTGATTACATATTATAGTTATGTACGTTTTAAGGTTTGTATTTTATCTGTATATAAAAAAAAACAAATGCATGTAAAATATAACTGTACAAGTGTAAAACCAATACATTTTCACACAAAGTTCATTCGGTTGGGAATATAGAGATTAAGTAGCTATGCATTATTGATCTGGATGGATTCGCGTATTTGTACAGACTTTGATCAGTAGAAACCTGTTAAAATCAATAACAAATACATAACAAAACATAATATTAAATAGATAATGGGTTAAGTTCAGAGTAATATTACTTAATATTAAAATACATTATACAACTATTAGTGATAAGATAATGATATATTTTATATTAAAAATCCAGAGTTAGGAAACTGTGAGTTAGGACCTTTCAAGGGGCCACTTATTAAAACCAAATTAGAAATCTTTACTTGTGTACTAGGTATAATGGTATATAAAACGAAAAAAATTAATTTATACTGTATGTGTGTTTATTCTCAGTGGCGGTTTTGATAAAATATCAAGGGGGAAGGCTATTTTAAATTTTTGGGCCTCTCCCCACCATAATTAAAGAAATTCAAGCATTTAGTGTAATTTCAATTAAAAAAGGGTTATGCGAAAAAAAATCCAAGAAGGGGAGGGTGAGCTCCCTTCGCCCTCCTAAAAACCGCCACCGTTAATTCTAGGGTCCAAGTGTCCAACTATCCAAGATCTGAAAAGAGGCCAATTTGATCAGCAAATATGAAGTGTGGGTCAGCTGTTCTCCTCCCCCCCCCATAGATACAATGGTGGGAAAGTTGATGAAAATAATTAATTGTGGCAAGTTAAGTTAATTCAATTAAATAGCCTTCAGTTAAGTTAAAAGTCAACAAAGAAAAAAATGTAACTAGATAAGTTTAAAGTTAAGATAGAAAATAAAATTAACTTATCTCAGTTATAAAAAAAATAAATTTTTTTGAAGGTAAAATTATTTTAAGTCATAAACTGCCATAGTATTTTGTTATACACAAACATTTATCAAGACATTTAACACTGTGTACAAAAATTAGATTATTATAATATATTATTCAAAAATAAATGATCAAAATCTTAAAAGAGTCGACGAATCAGTATTGTCTAGTTGATTACGCATGACTTGAAAAGAAAATTAACTTAACTGCACGACAATGATAGTTAAATATAAAAAGTTAAGTTATAACAATAAAAACTTTAACTGAATAAGTTAATAACAAAAATAATTAACAATAGGTAGTTAAGTTAAAAAAAATCAACTTAAATTTTTAACATTTAAGGCCCACATTTGGTATATATGCATTATATTATAACACAAGGCTGGGCAAGCTAACGACTTTTTTTAACTCGTTAAGTTAAGTGATTTTAAAATAATTCAGTTAAGTTAAAAGTTGGTCATATTTTTATTTGTTAACTCAAGTTAAAAGTTACCTTTGAAAAAAAAGTGACTTACCTAACTTTGTGTTAAGTTAAAATTTGGTAATTTTCAAAAATAAAAAAATTCCAGACTCATAATAATATGGTTTATTAGATAGTTTTTCTTTACGTTTAAGAAAATGACTGGGGAAATTTAAAAGGATACATCATACATCAAAGTGAAAACACATTAAAAATTTGCATTATTCTTCGGACGAGAATGAACTTAATTTAGATATTTTTGAAATAAAATTAACTTGAAGTTAACAACATATTAATCTTGAAAAAAAGTAATTTATTAAGTTAAAAGTTAATTTGAAAAAAAATTTTCGAGTACATTAACTTAATTTTAACTTTTAACTCGTTAATGCCCAGCCTTGTTATAAAATATTATTTATAATATCTTACTGGAACTTAGACGAATCACCATGTCCTGTATTTTCATTTTTAATCGATCAATTGAGTGAGTGTCTTTCTCGTGTAGATGTTCGTGATCGAATTGAATAAGTCTTGGTCTATTCATATCTAATGTCGTTCGAAGAACAGCCTGGCAGTTCGCTTTGGAAACACGGCTACATTTCCATCGGATGTGTCTCTTGCATTTCTTATGGTAATGGAACAGGAACCCTTGGTACACGAGTCTCGGGTATTTAAACGGCCTCAGAAGCCCGGCATCGATAATTTCCAGAACATCCTCTTCTGACATGGTAAGGTCGACCAATCACAATATCAAATTATTATTTCCACCAGCATAAACGACGAGTAACGGCGGCCGGCGGCAACCGGATCGAGGCGAACGGACGTAAATTTGCGCGCCGCGCAAATCAAGCCTATGGAAGAAACTCTGTATCGGCAAACGTTGCAAAATGATAACGACCCAAATTCGGGGCGTCCGTTTGCTAAACGAAACTGTTAACGAAGCTGTTAACCTAACCTGTAAAAGAAACATTACAAACGCCATTATGAAAATTCTGCGGCGGAAAACTTGTTGCACGTTGAAAGGGCAGAAATTCGTGAGAGCTTGGTTTAGTGCGGTATTTTGTTTAACCGTGGTCGTGGTGTATGGCATAAAAAGTAAATCGTGATAAGTCGTGATGGACCACGGAGATCAGATATTATGTATGTATATGATCAAAGGATATAATGGACTAGAATCGTCAGGGTCGGCGGGGATCGGGGGACGGTCACGAAAAGATGTCACTTAGCTGATAAGAATACCGTTCTTGAAGTTTTCAGCGCAACCGGTGGTTTTATTTGGCTACACAATTTGTATCTTAGTCCGTGTTAAATATAGAGGGCGCTGTGAACTCCAAGAACACATAGCGACCCCCCGCACTTTGCTTCTTGTACATATATTCGTGGCCTCGATGAGCTGCTCGTTTCCACTTTCCAGTCATAGATAATAGTATAATACATGTATTATCCATGTTTCCAGTCCATTATATCTTAGTCCATAACGGACGTATACAAGACGTCTGGACACGAGATCATAGATATTAAAATATTTAACGTGCATAGAGCAAGGTGTAAGAAATCTTCTTTTTTTTTTTTTTTATTTTATTAAAAGAATAATTACAATCTATACAAACTAACTTTTTCTCGCCATGAAATTTCGGGTAAAGTACCCCAAGCCCGAGAATAGCGTTGATATAACAGAGAGGCAAGATATCTTTAACCGTGGTATAGAGACCCGACCATCCGGGTATTGATAAGAGACCCGACCGACCCGACACGACCAGACCCGACTGGACCCGATCCGACCGACCCGACCGAGGAGCTCAACGACGAGTGCCGGCGTGCTGCTAACTGTGTAATCACTGGCCACTGCCCATGACTGCCCATAACTCTGCCCATACTACTACTTAACTTACCATGATATAAACAACATGGTATGATCGCAAAAGTCCAGATATGCAAGTCCGGATTAAGGATCAATTGGGCCCCGGGACACCATACACTTAGTGGGCCCCCTTTCAATTTTAACTTCAAAATAATTGTATTATTACATATAAACGACTTAATATTATTGTATAATTTTTCTACTATGCAAAAAAAAAATATACAGAGTGTATCTTATGTCATAGTACCCGGGGTTTTTTTTTAACAATTATGGATCGATGATACAAAAAAAGGCGGGTTTCTTTATTTTTAACAGGCACTTTTTTTTAACATTTCAAAATTTTTAAACACGCACTTGTACCAATAATAAAATCAACTTTATTTTTTTCAAATTGTACCTCCCACTGCTATATTTTTTCATGGATTCTGGTAAAGCTTTTGTCTGAAAATTTTGACAGTCATCAGTTTTAGTTTACTAGGTTATTAGTATTACTTATTAAGTATTAACAACGGTCCTCGAAAGTTTAGTATAATATGCATTAACAGTGGCGTAGCCAAGAGGGGGTTTTGGGTGTTTAAACACCCCCCATTGAAATTTTCCCCGCTAATAAATATATTGTTTATATTTTTCGGGACTGCTTGCATGTTTTATTGTAGTGGTCGTGGATTATTTTAGATAAATTATAAATTTGTCTTATGAAATTTTTTATGTCTTTTCAAACAAAATTTGCATATTTTTGCATATTTTAGGAAAAGTGTACATTTGAGCGATTTTTCGCATATTTTGAATTTTTTAACTTAAATGTGCATACAATTGTCGGGAAAAATCATATTTGGATAACATTGAAAAATATCTTTAAAAATATTATGTTTGGTTAGGTACAATATAGGCGCTAATTTTGAGATTTGGGGAGGCCGTAGCCTAAGACCATACTATTATAAAATTGAATAAGCTTAAAAAGTTTAAGGTAATGTTTTGGAGGGCTGTTGCTTGTTAAAGTTGTTGGTGGAGCTAGGCTACGGTTGGCATTATTTTCGCATATTATGGTACGTAACATATAAGTCTATATAATAATATATAAGTCTCTTTATGACAAGACTGTGTTAATACTATAATTGATATCTAGATTCTAGATTGTACGAAGAAATGAAAATCAGTAGATACGTGTTCGTTTATTAAGGTGTTCGCATATCGCGTTATTGGTTATTACTTATTTATTAACCTATAGTACCAAAATTGTAGTATGTTTTATGAATTTTTCAAAAATAATATAAAAATGTAGCTGCATATATTTAAGCATATTTTGACTGCATATTTCGATAATTTTTAGTGCAACAAGTCAAAATGTATTTATATTCGTAAACTGTAAGAACTTGGTTTTAATCTATACTTAAACACCCCCCATTTCATAATCCTGACTACGCCACTGTGCATTAATACTTTTAACTGAAATACCTAATTTACAAGAGCTAAATATTTTTTTCTTATAACTACCTATATACTTAAACAGTTAAATCAGTAATCGAAAATGCTCAGAAAAAAAAAAAACATAATCAAAATTGTGTTTGCCAACACAGTTCATTATTTATAGTAATTTTTCGTGATATAAAATTGAGAACAATTTTATTTTATAATTATTATTTATTAAGTAATAATAATTTACCTACTACCTATATACCTACCTACTTAAATATGTATATATTTTTTTTAAACTGTATTGGACGCGTTAAAAAAAATATATTTTGGGGATAAAGATGGGCCCCGGGACCGTGCCACCCTTGCCCCCCCCCTTAATCCGGACTTGCAGATATGGTCCAAGTCCGCGCAATACGTCACTTGCTTACGCGTACTATCATATTGTCATTAAATTATTATTACTATACACTACGCTACTTCATGTGCTTACCGAAGGATCTGACCGTCAAATAGTTACGATCATACCTTGTTTTTATATCATGTAACTTACCCGTGGTGTTCCATAGCAAGTCGGGGGATTCTTTCGATTTGCGGAGCGGAGCGATGAGTGCCGATACACGCGTAATCACTGCAACTTTGAAATTGTATAACTTTTGAACGGTAATTTTCGGGGAATATTTGAGGAAAACCGAAAACTTACCGGGCCGGGTTGGGTCGGTCGGGTCTCTTATCAATACCCGGATGGTCGGGTCTCTATACATAGAGAATATTTAATATCTATACACGAGATGAATATTGTGATTTGTGGTTACGAAATATAGACATATAGTACAACCGGCTGAGTTTGGGGGGGGGGGATATTTTCCTTTTAGCATTACTATACCGCCCCGAACTCCGTCTGATCTACTAAATTTCGTGGTCAACCCCCCACACCCTCCAACCTTGTAGTGTCCAGTCCTGTATACCTATCATTGGTCCGTGGTCTATCACGACTTATCACTATTTAATTTTTATGTCATACACCACGACGACGGTTAAACAAAATACCGCACTAAGCCAAGCGCTCACGAATTTCTACTCTTTCAACGTCTCAAACGTAGGCGTTTGTTCTGCAAAACGTTGTCCGTTACAGAATTTCCTCATGGCGTTTGCAATGTTTCCAAACGTTTACAGGTTGGGTTAACAGCTTCGTTAACAGCATGGTTTAAATATACAAGGTTATTGCACATAGCACATATTGCAATCAAACAGAAATAAAATGGCAGCATAAGGGTACGGTCCATATCATGCATATAATATCATAGTATAGCCAGTATACATCGTTCCCTTACTCTGCTATTTTAATTCCTTAACGTGATAAAATGATATAGTGGGGGTACTATTGCAATAACCTTGTATATTTAAGCCATGGTTAACAGCTTTGTTTAGCAAACGGACGTCCTAAATTCGGGTCGTTATCATTTTGCAACGTTTGCCGATAAAGAGTTTCCTCCATAGGCTTGATTTGCGCGGCGTGCAGTTTTGCGTCTGGAGGGCTATTCTGCTAATTAAACTACGCCATATATGCGCGCACTTGGCTTACTTTATTGGCATAGTACCATTCCATTAAAATTCTCGCTTGGCATACTTCGCGTACTCGGGGTACTGTGCTTTCTTAAAGTATGCTGACTACGACATGTCGGGAGGTGTCTCTTTTAACTTACTTGGCGTGCTTAGGTATTCAATTTGATAATCATTTAAAATTAGTATCGCTTTTTTCGAAAGTATGCGGAGGACGTGCGTACTTTTTCACAAAAAATAGCTGAATAGCCCCCCTGTTCGCCTCGATCCGGTTGTCTCCGGCCGACGTTTTGGCGATCACCGATCAGTCGTCACTCGTCGTTCGTGTGGGTGGAAGTATTGTGATTACTCGACCTTACCATGTCAGAAGAGGATGTTCTGGAAATCCTCGATACCAGGCTACTAAAGCCGTTTAAAATGTTGAATACCCGAGACTCGTGTACCAAGGGTTCCTGTTCAATTACCACAAGAAATGCAACAGTCACATCCAATGGAAATGTAACCGTGTTTATTCCAACCCGAGTTGCCAGGCTGTTCTGCGAACGACATTAGATGTGGAAAGACCAAAACTTATTGAATTCGAATTAAAAATACGAATTTACCAAAAACCTGGAGTAATACCGTATGGACTCTGGGGCATAACAGGACGTGGCTTATATTTCATATAATTTTTGACGAAATTAAATTTTTTAAACTGGTATACATTGAAAAAATTAAGGTCTATAATTTTTATTTGAAACTTTTTTACGTGTTAGATTCTGAGTGGAACGATGAATGTATTGATTTTACAAGATTCCTTATACATTTGTCTACCTTTATCAAAAAAGGAATGTCTGCAAGAAAGTCAAATTAAATTTTTATGATCGTTTGAAATTAATATTTTTAAAACA